TTCTTGCCATGGCATGCGTGTCTCTTGTCGCTTGTATTGTTGTTTTTATCTCCTACTGTCGAGGTGGTCATCGACGTGCCGAGAAAGTCGGGACCTACTATACCATGTTCGCCATTGGCTGGGTAAGTCACACATCTTGTGGGCTTGGCTTGAGCCAGCGCTGACTTCATACAGTTCATTCTTTCCTTGATTCTATGGGTCGTCACAGCTGTTGTTTTCCAGAACTCGAAGAACAACAGCGGGAATCAGGATATGTGGGGTTGGTCTTGTGTTAACAACCATCGATCTGAAGTCTTCGGAGAGAAAGTTGACTATGCTCTTGTTTGCCGTCTTCAGAACTGGGCCATGATCTGCATCATCATCGAGGTGGTCATCGAGGTTCTCTGCATTCTCCTCTACAGCGTCGTCTTCTATCGTTACTACACAAAGCGACGCCTCTTCAAGTCTATGGACATGCGAGACCGTGCTCGATCCGACCTCTACCTCGCCCAGCTCCGCAGCCAGTCTGCTCCAAACACTCCCGGCTTCGGCCCCAAGTCCCCCGCTCTGAGCGCCTATGCCATGTCTCCCCGTCACCCTCCCGCTGCCTATCGAAACCTGTCCGACATAAGCGAGAACCCCACCACCTTCACGCCTGGTATCCAATTTGCTGAGCCCAAGTCTCAATTTGCTGCCCAGGAGACTGGTTTCAAGCTCCAGGCTCCCCCTATGAAGGCCCCTTCTGCTACTCCCAAGCTAAATCAATCTGCCTTTACACCCACTGAGGCCTCACCTCCTGCCATCCCCACTGTCCAAGTCTCGCAACACGGGCCTGTGAGCACTGATGAACCCACTTATGAGGCTGTCCCTATCCCTGGTGCCTATGCCGGCCAGGCTGTCAGGAGTCCACCTCCTACGCAGACTCATTTTGGTCAGGGCTACTAGATGGTGTTGACATTTTCTCGAAAAGACAAAATTGCAGGTTTGATTACTTTGTTAGTTCTGGCTCAGCGAGCTTCAGCCGCGTTCTTTAGGCCACGGCTTGTTTGAGTTTATATATCATGAGGCGGCGATACCACACACGGCGTTACGATGGGCGGATCCAAGATTTGACTCGGGTGCACTTTATCTTTGGCTTTTCCTTTGTTCACTCTCCTCAAAGATAGCAGGAGTCGTATAAAGCGTACTGTAATTTGGTTATGGATGTACATTCGAGCATGTGCAGAGGATGATGAAGACGATGGAACAACGAGCTACACACAATACTTTCGTTTACGAGGGCTTCGCAGGCCATCGGGTTAGGTGCTTTATTTAATCATAAAATTGGTACCTAATTTGTCGATCGTACAGTGACATTCAGAAGGTAGCATTCTTCAAGTCGCTAAACGCCGTAGAAACACCTTTCACTTAAAAGGAGTCGATAAATAAATAGTAATTGTGGATGTCGACATGTTTATTGAATCACAACTCAGGTACACCCTATCAGGTCACTTGGCATTTGTACCTATTTCATGCGAAACTTGGTCAGAATCTTGAAATAAAAAAGAAAGCATTCATCATGATAACGACACCCTAAATAACAGAGACAAAAAGCAGGTTAAAAAAAAACCGTTGCATTACTTTTGGTAGCCCCCAATGCACCCCCCAAAGGTATTAAGGGCGCAAAGGACTGCCCCCGAAGCCTTTTGCCATGCGGCCAAGTCGAAGTTCTGACCTCCTCCCCGGCGGTCACCTTCCGGACCGGCGGCAGCTCGTATGTGAAGGCCTGCCGCCCTTCCAGCGCGGTACTCTAGAAACGAGATCTATCAACAACTGCCACAAGAGATTTCTCCGTAAGCTCCTCCCAAAGATGTCAGGCTGCCCTGTATCGTCCACTCATAAGTAGCTGATGAGACAGCCTGGTAACGGATATTGGAAGACCCGTGTTGGTTTTTTCAATTTTTTTTTGAGATTGAACTTAGATGAGGTCGGCAACGTTCATAGGCATCTCCTCAATCTGAGTGCTGTAGAACTGCTCAATCTCACGCATCATGCGGACGTCCTCAGCGGTGACGAAGTTGATGGCGACACCCTTTCGGCCGAAACGACCACCACGACCAATTCGGTGAATGTAGTTCTCACGGTTGGCAGGGAGATCATAGTTGATGACCAGGGAAACCTGTTGAACATCGATACCACGGGCCAAGAGATCAGTGGCGATCAGGACACGAGAAGAGCCGGATCGGAACTCCTTCATGATCAGGTCACGCTGAGCCTGGTCCATGTCACCATGCATGGCGGAGACGGTGAAATCACGAGCAGTGAGCTTGTCGGTGAGCCAGTCAACCTTTCTGCGGGTGTTGCAGAAAATAACAGCTTGGGTAATGGTGACAGTCTCGTACAAATCGGAGAGGGTGTCCAACTTCCACTCCTCCTTCTCAACGGCAATATAGAACTGCTTGATACCCTCCAGGGTAAGCTCGTCCTTCTTGACCAAGATGCGGACGGGGTCACGCATGAACTTGGTGGTGACCTCAAGAACGTCCTGGGGCATGGTAGCAGAGAGAAGGACAACCTGGGTGGACTGGGGGAGAAGCTGGAAGATATCGTAGATCTGCTCGGTGAAACCACGCTGAGATAATGTTAGCATTGAAGTCTCAATGATAAGAAGTTGTTTTCCTTACAGAAAGCATTTCATCGGCCTCGTCGAGAACAAACATCTTCATGCTGTCGGTCTTGAGGAAACGGCGCTGGATCATGTCCTGAACACGACCGGGAGTGCCGACAACAACCTGGGGGCCGTCCTGAAGGGCCTTCATATCCTCACGGACACTGGTACCACCGATACAAGCGTGGCACTCGATTTGCATGAAATCTCCGATGGCAACAACGACCTTCTGGATCTGCTGAGCGAGCTCACGGGTAGGAGCAAGGATCAAAGCCTGGCACTGCTTAACGTTGGTGTCGATCTTCTGAAGAACAGAGATGGAGAAGGTGGCCGTCTTTCCAGTACCGGACTGGGCCTGAGCAATGACATCGTGACCCTTGATGACGGGCATGATAGCACGCTGCTGGATAGCAGAGGGACGCTCGAAACCGTAGGCATAGACTAAGGATTATTGTGAGCGGCGTGCGAGGGATTTGTAGAGGTGTGGGAGACACTTACCACCTCGGAGGAGCTCAGACTTGAGGTTCATGTCATCGAAAGAGTCGACGGTCTCATCGTAGTTGGACTCGATCTGTCCTGCAAGGCATGTGTGGTCAGCAAGTCTGATGGTGATAAGAGTGGCTTGCTCTCATTGCATGAAAAGCTCAGAAACCCAAGCGCATCGTGAAGCCTATGGCAGCGTGGAGGACGCAATAACTCACCCTCGGGGACATCCTCAAGACCCTTGTCAGCCATATTTGCGGTTGAGGCTTTGGAAAATCTAGATCAAGCACAGCTCGATCTAGGGTTGATAAATCGCGGGGTGACGGAAGCGAAAAAAGAGGGCAGAACTTCTACTCGAGAAGACTGCGCCGTTGTGTCGTTTGGTTTAAAAAAAAAATCTGGTATCGACTAGGATCAAGAGTCTCGTGAGAATGACGAGAATCGACAAGAACCTAGGATGAGGATGGTTATTTGTGCTGTTTCCTTTGGATGGAGTATGAAGGAGAAGAGGAAAAAAAAGTCGAATGAGGGGCGGTCGTGGAGGCAGTATATTTTTTTCATTGCTGCCCACCCGCTTACCTCAAGAGAGGCCCTGACCAATGATAGAAGACCTTAGCGGGGCATCGGGATTAGGGTACATTTGGTTCGGCGTCTCTGCCTTGCGCACTCACCAGTCACTGGGCAGCCACCAGTCTAGGTTAGGTCTTTACAGCGCGGTACAGTACAAGTACAGCGAGTAATTTTTTCCTTAATTCTTTTTTCAAACTTTGATTTTTGTAGCGACGTAAGAAGTTTTTTTCCTTGCCTCACGTTCATCACCCACCTATGATAACAGAGGCTGCAGCCATCCCACTATGCCCCGCCCCTCGCTAGAACCTTGAAAGAAAAAAAATGTGCCCCTCTACCCACGGATCATCCTCCGCCACCTACAACGCTGCTTTATGGTGTTTCCAGTGACTGATCGACTGATTGTAGCCTGCCTATGTGTGGCATGTGCCATCTAGGTAGGGAAGGAAAGAAGACTCAAGACCTTAATCCTAAATGACAAAAAGACTTAGGTAACTTAGGAGATATTTAGGGTAATTTTACTAGATTTAGGATATCTTTTGCTCAGTTTATTTTTTGATACCCTATATTCAGGCCGGAGTTTTCTTGCCCCCGAGGGGCCATGTCATTGCTCTCAGCTTCAAGAAGAAGCTTGCCATACCTATATAGGTTGACGCATCCATACCTACTCCGTACTTGAGGAATACACATGATAACCGCCTGGTGTCTTGAAGGTGGGTGACTCCTACTTCTGTTCACATTTCCTGTTGCAAATGCACTATAACAATTATATTCCAAAACTGTAGAGCATGGTATATCAGTCTTCGAGGTTGTCATCTTTTACCACATACCTATCCAAGATAATCCCTCGCTCGCTGAGAGGAAGGATAAACCATGCCACTCAGCTTGTGATACAGCAGGTACCCAGTAGTCAGTCAGTTGGTGGTTTAACAAACTACTAACCTTACCAATTTACCAATCTTAGTAGGTATGGTATGCAATAAACAATCGTTAAATACCTTTATCAGGCACCCGAAGTTAGCTAAAGCTACCTTATGGAAAGTCAGCGTAGCCTCGCTTTTGAGCAACAGTCAAGCTGCAGTGTAACTCTAGTCTCATCTTTCCCCGTAAGGCTGTTGCCGGAAACCATTCCTCAGCCGAATTTTTCTTCCGCCCACACTAAATTAGGTAGAACTCGCCATATCTGGGTGATTTCAACGTAGAGGTTCCTCGTTTTTCTCATGAGTTTTTATTCCTAGCGGACTCTTCCCTTTCTCTCTCTACAAGTTACTTGTTCCATATATCCTACAGCAGCCCAGGCAAACGCGGGCTCGGCACCACTCAGATGCCTTCAGCTACCGTCAGCGTTGGCACTGGCCATCATGATTCACTATGTGATAAGAGGGACGACACATATGAGTCAACTTCCCAAAGTGACTCGATTCCTCCTCATCCGCTAGGACTCAAGCCATTAGGCAACCAGTATTTTTTCACTGGTCGCAATGCGAGGCGCTCAATTGGGAGCTGGAGAATTCTGCCAGACGAGGTTATCTCGCTTGTCCTAGAGCAGTTTGATGCTGCGGCTCTCTTGAAGCTTGGCCACACCTGCAAATTCTTATATGCCTTTTGCCACTCCGATGAATTTTGGAAGCCTATCTTTCTCCGGTAAGTCGCCTGAGACATAAAGGCACTCTGAAGTAGCTGTTGAACTAAGTTCTGTTAAGGTCACCACCACTGGATAGCAAGGATATCCGATGGCAAGGATCATGGAGATTAACTGTTTTAGGTTTGCCCAGTGACCAAGGGACCAAAATCGACTGCAGTAATGTCTTCTCAGATGTCCTTCACCGGCCATTTGCCTGCAGTCATGTCATTCTTACCCGGTTCACCTCGCATATTCCCAAGACAAACCAGATCCGTCGCTTCGAGAACCTGACTTACGATCAGTATGCTGCTAAATGGACTGAGCAGCCATTCGTGCTTACCAACTGCATTCGGGAATGGCCAGTATATAAGGAGTGGACTCTCGATAGCATGCTCCAGACCTTTGCCGAGGTCGAGTTTCGTGCTGAGGCTGTTGACTGGCCATTCGCAACCTACCACACATACATGAAGAACAACAGCGACGAAAGCCCTCTGTATCTCTTTGACCGGAGATTTGCCGAAAAGATGGGCATCAGAGTCGGTAAGAAGCCAGGCACTGCATACTGGAGACCAGACTGCTTTGGTCCTGATCTGTTCGAGGTTCTTGGAGACGAACGCCCTGCCCATCGATGGCTGATTGTCGGTCCTGAGCGAAGTGGCTCAACCTTCCACAAAGACCCCAACGCAACGAGTGCTTGGAACGCTGTAATTCAAGGATCCAAGTATTGGATAATGTTCCCACCAGCCACACAGGTGCCCGGTGTTTATGTTTCCGATGACAGCAGCGAAGTCACCAGTCCCCTCAGCATTGCGGAGTGGCTTCTCACTTTTCATGAAGAAGCACGACAACTTCCCGACTGCGTCGAGGGTATTTGCGAAGCGGGGGAGATTCTTCATATTCCCAGCGGATGGTGGCATCTAGTGGTCAATCTCGAGAGCGGCATTGCACTTACGCAGAACTTCGTGCCACAGAGCTTAAATCTTGTATCGGAAGTCGTTTCCTTCTTGCGGGACAAGGCTGACCAGGTCAGCGGATTCGAGGATAAAGTCACGGATCCTTTTCAACTCTTCATGGACAGAATGAAGAGCAGCTACCCAGAAGTTCTGGACAAAGCCCTGGACCTGGCCGATACGAAGAGCGGCAAAAAACGTAAATGGGATGCTGCTGTCGGTGGAATAGACCATAAACAAGAGCAGAAAGGAGGCGATGGTTTCAGTTTTGGTTTCGGCGGCGATGGTGATGATATTGAAATACCCTAGAAAGACTCGCCCTTTCTACCCTTGCAATTCAATCCAGCTTAGCGATTTATGACTCCTTTCTCTGGTAATAAGAAGCGAAATATGAGGGGATTTAGCTGAAGCAAGGCCCCCCCCATCCTGCAAGATATCATATCAGGAGCTGTGATCACGCTCAGCAACTATCTAGTAATCACTAGAGTTGCGGCTATGAGCCTGATATAACCGGGCAGTTGGCAGTCAAATGATGAACGAAGGTCTGTACAACGATCAACTCTAGGTATAATGCATGTATGTGGCGCCTGAGAGATAGATAGAATGTGTTATTCATTAGAACTGAAACATCTACACATGTTGTTGCGATTAGACTCTTACTCAGCCTCGGAACCACTCAATCAGGCTATGTGATAGTTTCCTTTGTCTTTGGAAACAGTACCTTACCTTGCTAAGGTAAGATCCAAGTTGGTACCTGGTAACATGACCTTGCCAAAACGGACGGGAGGAAAGGAGAGGTTCTCTGTCCCTGCAATTTGTGTTCTAACTAAGGTAGGTACTACCTATGGTTGTGCACCCCTTTTTCACACTAGGAGGCGAATTTATCGTGTCTGTCGTGGCCAAAGAAAGAAAAGAAAGACAGGGAAATATCGCATGATCTATCATAGCAACTAAGATTGCCATTATTTAATCACCAGCGATAAACGTGAAAGCAGATAGTCGTTGTCGAATACGTTGCCATGCAAGACTAGGCTGGCTTGGCTGAATGAGTGTCCAGCTACGGAGTAGAAGTAAGGCAACTAAATATTGAAACAATAACTAAAGTTAAGACAATGGTGATTGTACTGTATTATACCGAAAGTGTAAATATTGTCTTCAGCCTCTATATACTCACCCTTTATTGGCCTTATACGTGTAACCAGCGACCAATACCTCAAGGGATCTAGCTTGATAATGGGCCAACCATACCTCACGTTTGCCTCATTCTGTCCGGGCTGCCAGTTATTAACTTACGGATACATACCTATCCACTAGGTATTTAATAGGTTCTCTACCTAGGCACCAATCAGCCAATGTACACATGGACCTATGCATACTGGATGTCTCTGCTAACAGAGCTGACGTCTTGCAATTCCGAAACACGATCTGAATCACTTTCCCCCTAACTTATTAATCAACAAATAACACTTGTGATGAAGATGGGGTGCACCTCCACTCCATACATACCACCTTAATGTTAAGTACTTACTACTACCTAAGGTACCTTATTGTGTATGGCAACTTTCCTCAACCTGCCACTCAGGTAGCCTAGCTTAGTACCTAAGGTCGCCACTGTAGTTGATTCACGAACCCTCTACAGCTTAGCATCTCGTCTCCCTGAAGCGCTTCCCGGGGGCCGTGTACTCCCCACTCGGCTTCCCGTCCACCCTCCACCTTTCTATTACCTTAGTGATTGGACTAGTCTAAAGCTGTCCCTACCACTGCATCATCTCCCATCCTCTCCTCCTCCTTTTCACCGTTGGACCTAATTGATCTTTTGCTTGAATGCGCTTGCGCTTCTCTTTGTTTTCGCCTTCACTGTCAATTTCATTTTCACTTTTATTTCGTCTCCTCTGCGTTCTTATTCTTGATTCCTATTCTTCTCCTTCTGCTTTTCTTGCCATACCTTTTAATCTGTAAGTTCCGTTTGCTAACCCCCGTCGCCATCTGGCCTAGAGCTGGACTCTATGTCCAACTCTCCACTATCTGACCGTTCTTCAGCTTCTCCGCCTTACCTCTTATATCATCTACACGTAGCAAAGCTAATCGAAGACTATGTAGCCTCTGCATCTTCTTGTTCTTCTCGCAGAACACCACTGTACAAGCTTGAAACACGGTTCCAGATACCGCTGCGCTTCGCATCAGCTCCACATCAGCTTAGAGACCCCTGTTCCGCTATTGTGAGCCTCGATTTGCTCTGAGCAAACTGTCCATAGCTTCGACCCCTTTCCGCTCGAACGGCATTGAGTAAAACAAGTCGGCATCATGGTTTCCGACGAGCACTTCGAGATGTGCTTGCCGATCTTGCAGGATGCAACACTGGAAGACGAGGATAAGACAGATAGACTCGAGGAGCTCTTCCGCAAAGAAACGAGCCTCACCGGTACTTCCCTCGACAACGCAATACTAGATGCTCTTTGGCGGTTTCGTGACGGTGGCGGCACATCAGCGTCACCCCCTCCCATCAGACAGACGATCTTACGACGTCCTTCACCCGCCTCCTGGCGCGGTTCGCCAACTCCCATATCGGGCTCTCCAAGACTGGCCGTGAGCCCCCTTGCTCCTCCGGGCTTTGTTCCCTCGACATTTGGCAGGACAATCTCCTCCACGGTTTCTCCCTTTTCTTCGCCTCGAGCATCGCCACGTCTAGCTCTTGCGACACCCGTCATTCCTCATAGTCCAAACTTGAATGCATACGAATTTGCTAGCGACCCGACCCCAGCCACAGAGATTCTAGGTGAATACCAGACAGAAAATGTTGAGTGGCTCGTGAGTGATGATGCTGCTAGCGTGACTTCATCTGTTGGTACTCCGAGTGCTCTCAACGCAGCAGCCCCCGAGTTCTCGTCCATGTCGGCACAGTCAGCTGATATGTCGCCATATGATATGTTGCGTTCCATCCTTGGGCAGACAAAGTCGGACGATGAGATTGAAGCCGCTCTCGCGCAGAATGGTTATGATCTCAGCGCAACGATTGTCTCCTTCATGGAAAGCCAAGCAGGTGACAACCAGCCCGGCGGTGTTTCATTGGAAGAACCCAAAAACGTCCTGATTGGGAAATCCGTGGATCGCCCTACTACTCCTCTAGGTCAATCGAAGTCGGGGGTTATTTGCAAGTTTTACATGTCGACTGGTTCGTGCTTGCGCGCCGATTGCCGATTCAGCCATGATCTCAGCAACCACCTTTGCAAGTATGTTTTACTCCGAGCTTCTCCGCGTTGTAAGCTAACATTTCTCTTGCAGATATTGGGTCATGGGAAATTGCTTGGCGGGAGAGACTTGCATTTTCTCGCATGATCCTACCAAACTTATGAATAAGCTCGCTCTCGACGGTGCCAGTACGCCACCATCAAAGCACGGCGGTTTACAGTTAGGCGATCTTAACTCTTTCCCTTCTCTAAGACCTGGAACCCCGGACCATCTCAGTGGTTTCGCTGGCAGCAACAATTTCCCTGCTGTGGGCATTACGCCACCACCAGGCTTGAAGCATTTCCAGGGAACTTCCAGTCCCCGTGCTCGATCTCGGCCTGGCAGTCGTCATCAGGCCAGAGAGCAAGATATCTCCGCCCCTGCTCTAGATGACAACGATGCCTTTCCGTCACTTGGTTCTGCATCTATCAAGCAAGGCAAGAAGCATCACGGCAAGCGCGGTGGCCATGGACATTCGCACAAGGAGAATAACGCGCCTAATTCTCTGGCTGATATTGTCAAGATGTCTCCCTCGCCCACCCCTGTCCGTCCCGAACTCAAGAGAGGGCTGGGGCGCAATGGAAGCTCAACAGTTGCGCGAAATGGGGAAAACAGCGCTGCAGCTCAGGCTATCCCCAGTCCCAAACATATCCCGTGGCTGGAGACCGGTGAGCGTGCTAACAAGGCATATTTGAAGGCTCGCCAGGAGGCCATTAAGCACGGCGGCCTTCGTAATAAGTTTCTGCAAAGGTGTGTTTTCTCGCAGTAAGAATTGGGGGTTTCCCGTGTGCTGACTGGCTGTCACAGTGCTGCGCAAGCATGGAATCGAAATGACGCTAGGGCGGCTAAAGCTCTCAGCCTGCGAGGACAAAGCGAGAACGATCTTATGCGCAAAGCTCATCGCGAGGCTGCAAAAGAACTATACGAGGAACGTAACAAGGGCAACTCCAATGATTTGGAATTGTATGTCGATCTTCACGGTCTTCACCCTGAAGAAGCTGTCGACTACCTTGAAAAGGTTTTGATGGAAAACGGTAGGGAGTCGCAACCCATTTATGCCATCACCGGCTCTGGACACCATAGTAAGAACGGAAAGGACAAGGTTGGCAGGGCGATCCGGAACTTTCTCAACGAGTGGAGGTATGCGTACCGGGAGTTCTCTGTTCCTGGAGACCGCAATAATATGGGGGGTATCCTAGGAATCGATGCTCGTAGCTGGGACAAGTCTCTCGCCAAGGAGGGCGACTCAGATGGTAAAGAAGAGGTGGACATACTAAGCCAAGGCGTCGAGATCGGTGACGGCAAAGTCAGACTCCTGGTGCGTGATCCGCCCAAGGGGCCCAGCGGCCGTCGATGACAACGCGAGACGTAAATAGAAGAAAGCAGTAAAATCAGACTCCGTTCTATAAGTCAATGTGTTGAAAGTTGCATGTGATGCCTGTCGATTAAGTTACCACCCGACCTGACCTTGAATTGACTTTGATACCCTTTGATGTATACAAGCTCATGCACTTGACAGGACAGGATTAGCGCCATGCTTAGCGGGGCACTTCCGCTCCCGATTCGCTTAGACTAGCAACGTCATGTTGGTGCAGCCCCAATGAAACGACGACGACAGTTCCAGCTGTAACTACAACATCGCCCATTGGATTTTCGTCGAGCGATATCGAATGCGACAATACGATTGTTGACTGGTAAATCTGGGGCCCTGATCTTCTATACCACCGGAAAACCATCCTGACCCTATCCTCAAGGTCCTCAATCTCACACTACAACCTCATTTCCATCCGCGCGTTCCGAATCTCACCTATATCGAAACCCAATACACAGACATGGCCACATAGCTCCCGTCAGAACACAACTCCAACTCCTACTCAGTCAATCAAAACTCAACATCTTTTCATCAAAGATGCCTGCCGATTACAACTCAACCGCCCAGGCTCTCGCCCTGTCTCCAGATCGTGGCTCATCTCCCTCGCCAAGCCGTCCTCCCTGGTCTGCGACGTCCTCAAGCCGCCGTTTATCGAACCCACTGATGAATCGTCGCCGCGCGAGTAGTAGCTATGCTGGCGGTGGTAAGACGAGCTTCGTGGGCCGCATCTGGGGTACGGTCAATCTGCTTGGTGAGCAGGTTCTGAAGGTGTATCTGCGCCTGTCACCTTTCCAGCGGATTCTTGCTCTCATCGGTGTTGTCGCAGCGGGTGTGCTTGGCATTTTGGCTATCATCTACTCGCATGTCTTCTTCAAATGGCTTGAGCCAAAGGCCGAACAGTGGCGCGCTCTTCCAGGAGGTTGGACTCTGGCCTTTCTGCTGGTCTTTGTCACTTCGTTCCCTCCGATTGTTGGATACTCGACCGCGAGCACAATCGCGGGTTTTGTGTATGGGTTTCCCTTAGGCTGGCCCATTGTTGCATCCGGATGTACGGCTGGTGCCCTTTGTGCGTTCCTCGCGAGCAGAACTGTTTTAAGCGGCTATGTTGATCGCATGGTTGGTCGGGATCATCGCTTTGTCGCTCTGGGTCAAGTGTTGCGCCAGGAGGGAATTTGGTATCTTACGGCTATCCGATTCTGTCCACTTCCGTTCAGTCTGAGCAATGGCTTCCTCGCCACTATTCCCAGCATTACACCTCTGACGTTTACCATTTCCACGGCATTGTCAAGGTATGTTCACTAATGAATGGTATTTGCCCGGTCCTGATCGCTGACGCCAATATGACTTTAGCCCCAAACTGCTCGTCCACGTTTTCATCGGCAGTCGTCTTGCTCTGCTGGCTGAGAAGGGCGATAAGATGTCCGCCGGTAGCAAAGCCATCAATTATTTAAGCATGATTTTGGGTGCTGCCGTCGGCCTTATTGTTGGGCTTCTCATCTACCGTCGTACTATGGCTCGCGCCGAAGAGCTCGCGCGCCAAGAAGGCCTTGAGCCTACAGGTCTATCAGCTGAGGAGGGCGAGGCCGGCTATGCAGACTCTGAAAACTCGATGCTCATGGATCCTGAAGACGCAGCCGTGTTAATGTCGGACGATGATATTTCATTGTGGGGTAGAGATGGTACAGAGGGCACATATCACGATGATGAGGATGAGGATGAGGATGAGGGAGACACCAATAAGAGGGGGGACCGAAGGGCTTGAAGTCCCATTTCAACGGGAAGTTCGACTAAAGTTGGGGATAGTAACGACAAGATCATTCAATACTGAAGGTATGAATATTGGGCACGGCTCGGTTACATTGATTATACACCTTTAAATGGACTAGACGGCGTTTTGGGCATCATTATATTGGAGGATCCCTGGGCGCTAGTATTCGGTTGTAATTGGAATCTTCAAGGACGACGATGTGTTTGAATCAACTGCTTTTCAAAACCATCAGAGCCAATATTGAATATCGTTACGCCAAAATCAAAGCATGTGATCAATTGCAACTTGCGGCTGCTATGTCCACTCGATCAGTATGTGGTGAATTAAAATTTACAAAGACTTTCATAATACCATCGCTTGCATCCCATAAACTCAAATTCGCTAACGCCGTCGCTAATGCATTCTCGTCCCAATGCGATAACTGAAAAGTGAAGCACCACCATTATGGGAATTACTGGTTCCCCCTATATTGGTTTATAAATTGTATAGCTTGGTCCATTGGATACCCAATGAAAACAGGCCCAGTGAAGATCATTTGAGGTCCGTCGTTTGTCCCTTTGGTCATATCAGGGTTGATGAAGGCAGGTTGAGGAGGTGCCGTATGTTGATATTGGTATTGATATTGATGTTGATGTGGAGGGGGTGGAGGGGGCCCGCCCTCCTTATGAGGTGAGGATGAAACCGTGTGTTCTGGTACCTGAAGGGGGGTGTCATGTTTGAACGGCAAGGGCATCCCCATGGCAGCCAATTTTGTATGATCAAATGGACATTTGCCTGGCGTCTTCTTTATTGATTCTTGGGCACTGGCTGCAGCTTGAGCGGAAATCGGCATACAAACAGGCGCTGGTGGTGGTGAGAGAGGTTGGTCGTCGCCTTGGCCTGAGAGGTCGTAGACTGGAATAGATATTCCCCAAGGCCGACTGGGCGATTCTCCAACACGTACTTCCTTGAGGGGCCGATCGAAATGACTCTGCCGGTCTCCATCCTCCAGAGTCGGCACCTGTGTATTATCCGGGTCCGAGTTTACACTAACAGCCTGTGCCCAATTCTCAACTCTTTCGTTAGATGGCTGGGCCACGTCATTTGGTCGATTCGGATCCTGTTCAGCCTCGGGTAGCATAGGTTGGTGAAGCTGACCCAGCCCTTCAATCATGCTCACTATATCGCCATATTTGGAATCTATCTTCTTGATTTGATCTTCGTCACGTTGGTACCGGCGGAGGCAAACTTCATGGCTTCGGGGGAGTTCATGTTTGTGCGTCTCAACATAGTGGGCGATCTCCTCAGCAGAGTGTTTGTCCATGTAACGAATGGGACACTTGACGGCTGATGAGCCGTTTGTGTTTGTGCGGGCTTGCTGAGAAGTAGATTCTTCGTACATGGCTGCACAGATAGGGTCCGTCGAATGATGCGGAGTTGTGTCCTGTGCATCTTCGTCGCGAACCCCAGAGCCGCTAGCCGTGGCAGGCTTGGAGAACGGGCATTGAAGATGGCCCTTCTTTCCTTGGACCGTGAAGTCTTGTTCTAGCGCTGTCGACATGGAAGTGGCTACGTGGGAAGGTTGCGACTCGGTCTCTCTGCTGGAGCCAGTGCCAGTGGTTTTACTCGTTTCGCCCAGTGAGGCAAGCTGATTAGCTACTCGGCGCCCGTCACGGATGACGAGGGCAAGTTGGTGTTGGGAACCGGAGCTGTACGCGCGTGGAAGAGGAACAGGCAATGAATTATCAACAGATGTATACGAAGGTATCTGGAGCTTAGCCAGGGTATCAGCTATTTCTGGCGCGGCTGGAGCATATTTGTCAGCCAGATACTGGAACTGTTTTTGGTTTCGAGTCAGCGATGGGTCCATTGCAGACGATGGAGGAAGAGGATGTTGATAGGTCAGATATCAGAAAAATAGGTTATCAATCTCGGCAACAGGGTCATTCATCCTGATGCTCTTGATCTAGAGCTAATGATATTCATCATGCTGACTTGGGAGGGGGGGAGGAAAGAAGCCGACAGCTCCGGTATCGCCGAAACAATCCCAAGACGTTGCGCAGCCAGGTATTGGGAAAAGCCGGGCTCTAGGCTTGGAACTACTGCGTGGGGTAGAAAATATTTCTTCTTACCTGTTCATGAGCAAAGCGAAGCTTGTGCTCCAAGACGGTCTTTCGATCTGTCAAGGTCTGGACTTCATCAGCAAGGGCGTTGAAAGCATCTGCCAACGTGTGCGCAAGATGAAGATATGCCATGCCCTTGACTGTGAGTGAGTGCGATAGAGAAAGAGAAGAAGAAGAAGAAAGTTGAAAAAAAGAAGAGGAGATGAAATATTTATTAGATGGGGAAGAAAGAGGAAGAGATTTGCCAGATCCCGACAGGAGTGCTGTTGCCAGAGCAAGGCGGCAGCAAAGTGGAGAGATAATGACGCTGATTGGCCTGTTCAGATGCGACAGCGGGTACAGCACGGTAGGCTGGCAGCTAAAAATTAGGGTCCTTCTACCTATTTTACGGAGTACAGTGTAGTTGCTTTCAGTACCTTAGTACCTAATTTTGAGCCGAGCCACTTCGGAGCGGGAAGTTCATGATTCGCAAGAGGGCCGGGACATGGCGATGAGGCTCCTTTGGCTCCACGTTAGAGGTTCTTAGGCTATGCTTCTACCTACCGACGTTAGACACCTATAGTGTGGTCTACTGCACCATGTGTTGTTGGCAGCAGTTAGGTGCTTCTTTGTCTAGGTACTAATGGAACCTAGCGCGAAGCCCGGTCCCTCCAGAGCGGATCATGGAGCGGAGATAAAGCACAGGCCGAGCCAAAGCTACCCTGTAGATATATGTATTTGACCGCTCGCTGTGGTAAATTCCTCAAGTCAGGTAATAACAGATGAAACAGATTGTCTAGGCGACCGGGTCTTATTGTCGTTATGGCTATTCTAATAAGCTTGACCATAATACTTTAGGGTTTGCATGTTCTGGATCTGAGCATAATTAGCCGTACAGAAAAACACGAAATCATACACGTATTCCATTTTATCATTATAAATACAATTTGAAAGCATGTTGACGTGGTAAACTAAAATTGAACTTTTTCAGAGGACATAACAGTAAGGCCAGGCCATTATAAGCCAGTGCCATGTATAGAAAGAGTCAAGTGATGCTTTATCTTGGATTGCCAGGTACTAGACCTATCGATTCAGCTGCCAGAGTACTAAGGTAAGAGGTAGAAAGAAGACATGGAGTAGTTGGTTTGGCATTCAGTATTCATTTTACCCACCGACCCCGCCATCACTAAAACACCATCACCAACCATACTATCAACCCCCTGCTGTTGTAACACAAGTCACCATGTCTACGCCTGATCACTTGTCCATCCCCCAAGCCGAACTGGTCAGTAGGAAATCTCACGTGCTACCCGGGCAATTATGTGTCACGGAGCTCTTCTTCAAAGTACCTCTCGACTACACGGATATCCAGGGCCCTTCCATCACACTATTTGCACGTGCTGTCAAGAAACACGATGTTCCCATATTCCCACCCGATGATGAAGAGTCAGAGAACAGCCCAAAAGACGAATTTGGCGAGCCCCCAAAACCATATATGGTCTATCTTGAGGGAGGACCGGGCTTTGGCAACCGTGAACCGCAGGACCATCCCCTCACCCGCCACGCTCTTGCAAAGGGATACCAGCTTCTCTTACTTGACCATCGCGGCGTTGGCCTGAGTACACCAGTTGGTGCTGATATGCTAAGCCTTGTATCTGAAGACGTTGAAGGGCGCACTCGGTACCTCGGCCTCATGCGCCAGGACAACACAGTCCGGGACTGCGAAGCTGTAAGGAAGTATCTTACCTCCTCATGGCCCGCTGCCAAACAACCATGGTCCATCTTTGGCCAGTCGTACGGAGGTTTCATCGCACTATCCTATTTGTCCATGCACCCAGAAGGTCTTCGGGAAGTCTTTCTCACTGGCGGTCTAGCCCCCGTGGGTAAGAAGCCTGACCAAGTATATGAAGCAACATTCCAACGGGTCATACAGCGCAATGAGCAGTACTACGAAAAATTCCCAGAGGACGTCGAAAACGTCCGCCAAGTGGCTAAATTCATAGAGAGTAAAGGTGGCAGTATTCCGCTGCCATCTGGCGGTGTCCTCACCGTTCCTCGTCTCCTGACCATAGGCATTTCCTTTGGAAGCCATGGTGGCTTCGACCAGGTTCACTCTACCATCCTGACTCTTAAAGCATCCCTCGATCAGTTTGGATTTTTCAACAGAGCATCCCTAGTACCACTTGAAGGCTGGAACCCATTTGATACCAACATCATATACGCCATCCTTCACGAGGCCATATATTGCGACGGCCCTGGTTTAGCCTCCGCCTGGTCAGCGAATCGCATTGGAAAAGAACTCAAACCATTCTCCTGGCTGAATGACAACTACTCTACGGAATCTACCAGCGGATGCCTCTACTTCTCTGGAGAAATGATCTTCCCATTTCACTTCGAAACTTACCCAGAGCTCCAGATACTTCGCCAAGAGGCTGAGTTATTGGCCAATCGTGATAACTGGCCCGCTCTTTACGATCAGGAGAAGCTCCATAAGAATAAAGTTCCTGTATATGCAGCTTCGTTCGTTGAGGATATGTACGTCGACTATGACTTTGCAAGAGACACAGCCAAGCTTGTCAAGGGTACAAAGACTTTTGAGACGAACGTCATGTATCACTCGGCATTGAGAGCGAAGTCGGACGAGGTGCTGCAGCAATTGTTTAGCCTGAGAGACGATGTTATTGACTAGATTTGGATGTCTCGCAAGACTGGCATACCTGCAGAAGTCAAGGCTACCAAGAGGAATACTTTTACGTAAAGGCGAGATAGATATGAGAGCTGGTACCTACTTCATTCAAGTTAAAAAAAAAAACTTAAAAACTTCCAGTGGCTATATTCATAGTGTACCGAACTGGCCTCCATTGTGTAGACACAACAGCAAAGAACAACGACCGCAAACCGCATCGAGTTTTATAAGTAGGTAATGACTAGTGATAGGCTCGTGTTCGGGCAGGTGCACGACTTAAGTTCTGCCACTCGTCTTCATAAGCCGTAGTATGAACATGCTCCATTGATGGCAAATCCGCCGTCGGCTGCGAATGCCTCATGACTGTCTCTCGTAGAATGGTAGCAGCGAGCTCTGGGTTGCTCACCAAGAACTCACTTGTCTCTACAGGGGCTCGCTTCCAGAGAAGCGGCTGAAGGAACCCAACGCGTGCCAGGACCATCTTGAGCAAGTCATCAACTTCTGGCACGCTGCGATGGAGTTTTCTGCAAAGATGCATCATCTTTGGCTGTGCCGCATCCCAGCCTGCTGTCTCGAGCATATCAACACACGACCGCATCACTGCCTTTCGAAAGTCGTCCATAAGATAACGTGTCGCGCAAATATAAACGTCGAGGTTGAGCTCATACGCTAGGAACCACGTCCGAAGATCCTCGCCTGTGATACGCTCCGGTTGGCTCTGTTGAGGAGGCATCGGAATGCTGACAGGGGGAGGGAAAACACCTGGAGGATGGATCCCTCTTCTAGGAGCTCCTCGACCATAAGGCACAGGCACAGGAGGATTGCCTTCGCGGGATCGCTGAGCCCCGCATTGCCAGCATCTCGAGAAGTCACGCCGAGCGAGGCATCGAGGACACGAGCAACCCGGTCGATGATGTCCCGGATGTTTCTCCTGGGCTTCTTCCGCCTCAGCATGTCTCGTTTGCCGAGCCCGACGCCGGCGTCTCCATGAGGTACCCGAGCTCCCAGAACTGTTACTACTACTTGACGAGCTCGAGTCAGAAGCCTCTCCTGGCTCTGGGTTAACTTCAATACCCTTTCCCTTATCGACTTCTGGTTCTACTGCGATATCAGTACTCGTGGGTCAGGATCAGGCTGTAAGCCAGTTGATTTACCTAAAACGCTCGCTGCTGGCCTGATAGGTTCATAGCAACCCTCGTATAGAAATGCAACAAGAAAATGAAAAATAGCCGGATCTTCTTCTGGCAGATCAATGAATTGCTCACTTGCTTCTCTGAAGTTTCCGCATAGGGCTTTTTGAAACCACTCAGCCTGAACAAGTATATCTTTGTGAACCTGGAACCCTGTTAGTTCAACTGGCCTCCATCTCAATAGATCGATACCTTTACACACGTAGAAGGTTTGCATGTTGTTCAAAGGACCAACTCGTATCGGTACAGGCGCAGAGCAATATCGGCCGTCTGCTGAACTGACCCAGAGGTCTTCTGTTGTGCTAAGGATATGCTCTTCTTTCTCCTCCTCGTAGACTCTATCAATGACGATAACCCGAGGCTGAGGAACGCCCATAGCATCGGCCAAGGTGTGCACTGTGACGGTTGAGCCTGCAGTTTCTGCATTTCCCGCATCACCCGCCATAACAAAGCTACCAAGTACTGATCCAATTCAGACCAGTATTTCTCTAGTCAAGGGATGGCGCGAGGGCGCGTGAAGAGAGCAAAATGAGGCTTTCAGAACGTTCTATCTCCCGAAACACCGTAGAAAATAGGACTAGAAATAGACATAGGCAGGCATCTACCACACGCACACACACATACTGTACACCATCTTGGCGTCCGGTCTAAGCCTAGAAACAGCCAACAACAAGTCAAGCATGTGGATGGTAGATGGCTACCAATTGAGTGCCACAGCCGCCCAACCGTCTGGCTGTATTCTGGCGCAGAATAAGCAAGGCGCAGACGACGTGCAGCGGCGCAAGCGCTTGGTTGGCATAAGACAATGCTTGGTCACCAAAAGACCAATCGCTGATAGGTAAGGTCTTCATCGAGTTTCTGAACATTCTCAGCAAACAGGCCACCGGGAAAATGATCAGTCACGCCTCCTGCACGAACAAGGGACATTCCCCGATTCATTTCCTCTAACGCAACATTTTCTCAATCCTTTGCCCAATTCTCTGTGAGAGGCGGCGGCAAGCCGGCTGGACTAGAACAGGGGTAAATTCATCCAATTCCTACCTAACCTGGGAACTATGCCTCCGCTCACACGCATATTATCGACGCGCGTCTGCAAACGACAAATGCACCATGAATCAATGTCAATTCGGAGGGCGATTCAACTCACCATCCTTACAGTTGGTGTTCGTGATCAATGTTTTGCCAGTACACACGCCGACTCGCAAGGCACATGTCTCCCTTAGGCGTGCAATCATAGGCCACTCGATACGCTGGATGCAGCCATCTATCACACACCTGCATTCACATCTCAAGGCCGACTTTTCTTCTTCTTCTCCTTTTGTTGCCGCCCTAGGCCTGTGCTCACCAGAATGTAAGTCGTGGTAAGATTCTGCAACGCTCGCCAGCCCTGTTATTGCCCACTAATGCAGTTTCTGGACGTGCCTATTCCTCCTCCATCTCTGCCTGCATTTGGAGTTCTTCGGGAACCATATTAGGCGTGTCAGATGAAACAGAGGTCAAGACAACTCACTCCAAATCTTGCTTGCAGCATCTGATATGACTTTGGCCTTGACAAGAAGTTTCTCTTCGTATTTCTCATTGTCTTTACCTTTTAAACGGATCTTATTTGGTTGAGCCTGCAGATAAAAATCAGTATTGCCCGTGTGGGCATTTTCAGTAACAAATCGGAAGACCAACCTGCATCAATATAGGAAACAGCTCTGTGGGATCTGCATTCGCAATCGTTGCCACGGTACGAAAACCGTTCTCCCAAAATACCCGCCTGTGATATTTAAGCGACACTACTTTCTGCTGAGAGCAATACACTCACGCTGTTCGGCTCTTGATGAAGGGAATCTTTGCCAAGGCCAATAGGTCAGCTCTTGCACCAGCCACGAGCCTGTCTGAAAAGTGTTCAAGAGCTGCGGCCATTACTCTGGATTGCGGTTAGCTATATGATAAAAAAAGTTGTCATGAACATACCCCCAGCTCATCTGTTCACAGAACTTGATCATTCCTGCAGCAAAGCCTTGACAAGTCTGCGAAAGATTCTGAACCATTCCACGAGGCACGTCGTATTTGCGTGCCACTATGTGAATGGGAATCTCGTTACACAGATCCCGCAATTGGAGAGCGAGATAAAAGCGTCGATGTACTCGAGCAACCTGCTTCTCCTCTGGCGTCGTCTCACGAAGCGTGGCACCTTGAGCACTATTTGGCTGTCAGTGAGTACCCCGTGGCCGTGAACACGACCTACAGCTTGAGTATTGTGGTAGGTTTGATGCCCAGAAGCCTCAGTACCCGTAAACCACTCTCGTCCAGACTCTCCATTTCATTCCGAAAGACCTGCCAGTTCACCATAACCCCGAATTCTTGGACAGGTGTGAACGTGTATAAGACGTGCATCTCACCATCCATCACAAAGGCTTGGAGCGCCCGACTGAGTTCGCTATGGACAAATACACCATCGTCGGGATCGATAGCTGATGCCACGATTGCCCTACCTAGTTGTGTCGCTGTAAACATGGACAAGGAATCGGAGGTCACAAAACCCATTGATTCTATCTCTTCCAAGCTTGAGGTGATACAATCATTGACAAACTTGGCGCTATGCGTGTGACTCAACAGAGACTTCGAGAAGTAGTCCACAATGGACTCATGACTCGTAGCTAAGCGTATGGATATGACTTCTAGCAGTGCACTGAAATATATTAGCGGGCAATTATTCGTGCTTTTATAGGACATACGCACCGTTGGATACGTCGATTCTCAGTGTTAAGACAGCTGGCGACGGGCGGCAGCTCCGCATTCATGAGATCTACAACTTGCTCGAGGTCATTTTCGCGGCAGCAGAGATATGTTTCACCGATAGATGCTTTCCCCTGTCTTCCCGCTCGCCCTCGCATTTGCCTTAGCATCGACGGTCCAACAAATTCGCGCCCCATTCGACAGTTGTGTAAAATCACCCTTCTTGCTGGCCTGCAAAAGTAAATGAAGTGTTTAACAATCGAAACAGTGACTCTTACAGGTTAATACCAGCAGCCAGACTGCAGGTCGCGACGCACACTAATAGTGTTCCAGAATCGTAAGCTGCCGCTATGAGAGCTCTCTCTTCGGTCGTCAAGCCAGCCTATATAATCAGAAATGTTTGTGGGCTTCAGTCGGCCAAAGCGACTTACATCTAATATCAATTAGGAACACATGCTCGATTTTGCAAAACGGATGTCTCACTTACGATGAAATGCAACGCCATAAAGGACCGTCTCTTCCAATACCGGATCAACCCCAGTGGGAAGACTACGAAGCTCTCCCAGTAAGTCCATCCTACTATCAACAACGTCAGCCTTGAGCTCATGTGGCCGGGGCATGGCCCGACTAATCCATCGTGCGTCAGACTCGCACATGCCACGACTCCCGGCAAAGACGAGGGCACCATAACCAGCAACAGCGGTCTCGTGAGCAAGTGTGACCACTGCATTTAATACTGGGTCGCGAAGCTCCTTGTGGGTGGATGGCTCGATTCGCCGGATGGGTCTCATCGGTGCCTGTGTCTGTGTAGACCGACTGTTCAGCTGTGCAGCCGTTTTGATGAGACTGCTTGTAGAACCTGCGGGATAAATGTTGCCGTCATACACGAGATGTTCCTCGATAGGAACCGGCCGATACCGAGTTTCGTAACAATGCCCATCGAGCCATCGAGCCATCATGTCCATGTTCTACTACCAAATTAGACGACTCAAAATGCACCACGAAGTCGACCGACCAACATACCGGGAGAGTGGCACTCATGCCCACAATTTGTACACGCTGCTCCAGGCTGAGCAGTTTGGCCGCCACGAGTTCTAATAAATAGCCTCGATGATCATCGTCAACCATGTGTAACTCATCAAGCACAACCGCGCGGAGCTTGGAGATCGAACAGTCATCAATAGCCGTATTCACGAGTGCGTTTGCCTTGGAGTGTCAATAATTTACTTGCTTGGCAGAATGGGATCGCGGTACTAGAAACCGACCTTCTCCAATGTGCACACGCCAATATCAAAATCAGCCCAAGTTGCTCGAACTTTTCCACCCCCAAAGAAACCAATGACACGGACTGTATTTTTATCAGCTCGTCTACGCCATATGCGTTTGTCGTCATCGACCGTTGTTTCAGAGGCGAAGCGTAAACCTTGTACCACACTACGAAGCCAACGAACTTTCTCTTGAACCAAAGCAACATATGGTAACACAAGGAGGGCCTTTGTTCCCTTTTCTTCCAGAATTCTTTTCAGCATGAGCACTACAAGTGTTAGCTAAGATCCACGCACTACCATATTTCCATCTTACCGTCAGCCACAAGAGATTTGCCACCGCCAGTTGGTGCACAATATACAAGGTTCTTTTCTCCTGTCAGAAGCCCAGGACCTTTGAGGCAAGCTTTTTGCCATGGGTATATTTGTTTTATGCCAAGTGAAGCAAAATTACCAACAAGCTGTTGATGAAGTCCATATGTAGAATGGCTTAATTCGAGTTCAGGATCACAAGACGATGTCGGAGTCGCAGCAATAGCCCTCCGTTGAGAATACTCAGACGGCCCGACTCGCTCATTGAGGCGAACAATGCGACTCGCAGAAATTCGAGGAGGGGCAGAGGGGAGGCTGACAGCTCGCTGAAACGGAACAGTCGCTCGAGAGGCAGAAGTCCTGAAGTGGTGTTCTTCTCCAGCTATTGATAGACTTCTTTTGTGTCCAGCAACAGAAGTGGTAGCGAATGTAGTCTTTTGTTCATTTGTAGTTTCGACACTGGTTGTGTGCAGCAACCCTCGCATGCTCTTCATGATGGGTATCAAAAAGACAAAGGAAACAAGACAAAACAAGATGCAACAAGACGAGAGCGAAACTTGAACGAGCCACCAAGTCCAACAATCCTTTTTGACAGTTCCTTGAAATGTGACGTGACACGCGTTGAGACAACGCGCCCAAAAAAGACCTTGAAACGCCAAATCACGTGGTCAAGCAGCAGACCAGGCGCGGGGTGCCAGGCACGGCGGGCAGCAGCCGATGCAGGGCTTTTGGTGGTGCCCCGCGGCACGATGGAGGGATTTGATTGGATGGATGTGATTGATTGACGCTAAGAAGTTGAGGAACCCTGTACTGTTCTTCAGGGCAGCGACCGCCAACGGCAGGTGGCATAAACATACATGCCCTGTTGGGTCTGTCTCTGCCCTGCTCCCACCCATCATCCACCAGCTGACCTATCCCGTACAACCAACCAATCTTCCACTGGACTATCCCTTTGAATCCGAGGGAGCACCAGATACAAATTTAAGTGGATCTGACTCTAATTTTGATTGGCTGCCGATCATTACGCCACAAAGTACCAGCCTCAAGGAGGTATAATGGTAAGGATAAAAGTTACGATCTGTAAGTTACATAATCAGAGATACCTATATCTTAGTATATCTTCTTAATAAAGAAAAGTACCTTTGATATATGAATTTGATTAGTCTGACCTGATATAACAGGGTACCTGGTACTCCCTCGGATTTAAAGGGATGGAACTTACTACCTAAGCCTCCAGGTAATAGAAGAAATAAACCTGCCCTTAATACTATAATAAAATCGCGCATTTATAATTAATTCTTAATAATATAATTAATAGTTAGAATTAATTAAAAAGTATATTATTATAATTACTAAAGTAAGCTTTAATAGACAGTCCTTTTCCCTTTTAAATTTATATAGTCTAGAAGTTATTTTAGTATACTATATATAGCTTTATTAATTAACTTCTAAAGGATCTTATTCCAAGCCTTTTAAGCAGCTATCTTTAATACCTTAACCTTCTAAAGGGAATATCTTCTTATCTTAGCTTTAACTTATCTTAGCTTTAAGGAATCCCTAAGTAGTCTTTATAGAGGAAAAGTTAAGGCTATAAGGGTAGTTAAAGTAATAAAGAAGTTTATATCTTTCCTTTTACTTAGATATATAGTTTCTATCTCTAGGACTGTATTTAGAATTATTATCTTCCTTTAAAATAAATATATAACTTTTTTTAATAAAAGGTCTAATATACTTATCTAATATCTTTTCTTTATAGACTTTTTATATTATTTTTTTACTATTATTAGTAAGAATATTATAAAAAACTAGTTTACTTTTATAACTAACCCTAATATAACCCTAAGTATATAGCTTCTTTTAGTCCTTTTCCTTAGGGTTTTTATAAACTTATAGATTTTTTAGCTCTTAATAAGTCCCTAGAAGTTTAAATATCTAGGCTTATTACTTATTATTATAAGAAAAATAGATCTTATTAAAAAAGAAAATAATATCCTAGTTTTTAAGTATTAGTTTTTTATAATAAGTAGCTATTACCTAAGCCTAATACTTAGTAGTAAGTTTATAGTTAATAAATTTAACCTATTAAGTAAGTCTTTTATTATATTTTTATCTTTTTAAACCTTTATTAACTATTTAGGTAAATATTTCTTTAATGCCTGTAGTAATAAGTATTTTCTTTGCCTTTAGATATATTACTTTAAACCTTTCTTT